AACCCTAAACCCTGTTCCCTAAACCCTAAACCCTAAACCCTAAACCCTAAACCCTGTTCCCTAAACCCTGTTCCCTAAACCCTAAACCCTAAACCCTAAACCCCGTTCCCTAAACCCTAAACCCTAAACCCTAAACTCCCTAAACCCTAAACCCTAAACCCTAAACCCTGTCCATACTGGAAGTAGTCAAGGACCTGTGGCCGAGGCGTCAGCACCACCACCGCTTGGAGGCCTGCTTTTGCAACCGTAACCAGAAGTGGTAAGTCTATAGGGGTTCAGGGTTTAGGGTTTAGGGTTTAGGGTTTAGGGTCTAGGATTCAGGATTTGGGGTTATCTAGGTTAGTTTAGGGGTTTCGGGCTATGCCAAGTGATGTTCAGGCTAACTTTCCAAACATGTGTTACCCAGACCCCCCCAACTACCCCTTATTATACCCCAAGTATCCACGATGGAGGATTATAAGGGACCTAGACCCTAAACCCTAAACCCTAAACCCTAAGGCCCTGGTACTTACACAAGTTTAGGGTCGGTTGTTGGTTTCGCGTTTTTGGCACGTCCCACCGCTTGGAGGCCTCGAGGATTTTCTGGCTTTCCAGAGGATGGGTTTCTGGGGGGTGGCAGAAGCTTCTATGTCTATGAGGTTTATATCACGGATCTTAATTAAGTGTTGTTTAGCTCTTCCGTATACGTCCTGCAAGGGGAATAACACTTTGCCAAGTTCTCCACCCACCATAAGACGGATCATCAGGAGTTCCCACAAACCCCCGACAAAACGGTGGTATAAACCTGACAAAACCCTGATAACGTAATCGGTGAGCGTACAACTAAAATCTTTGTGGCTAGTTCTCTAAACTAGGGTCCCTTTTTAGGTCCCCAATATAGTACGGCACCCTCAGAAAAAAGGACCCTACAAGGCACCTAATCTAGAAAACTACCCATATGGCGGTCCCTATACTTGTCCAGCTTGAACCCTAAACCCTAAACCCTATACTTGTCAAGCTTGGCCTTAAGTTCCAGAAGCAGTGGAGCTGGACAAGTACGGGGATCGCAATATGGGTAGTTTTCTAGATTAGGGTGCCTTTTAGGGTCCTTTTCATCAGGGTGCCGTACTATATTGGGAACTTGTAAAGGGACCCTCATGTCTCTATGACAGCACAATTTGGGGGGTGTTATCAGGGTTTTTGGCTCGTCCTCCACATTGCAAGTTCTTAGGGTTTAGGATTTTGGGTTTTGGGTTGGGTAGCAGCATGGCAGATCGGCCAGAACCAGATTGTTTTCCCCGTCCCCTCAAAGCACAGTCCAGGACCCCGACCCTAAAAGCCTAAACTCCCCAAACCCTAAAACCGAGACCCCCCAAACCCTAAACCAAACCCTAAATCCCAACAGCCAGGGTGTGCCAAAACCCTAGACCGTAAATCCTAAACCCAAAACCCCCACCAGCCAGGGTGTGCCAGACCCATCCAGACCCTGGACCCTTAACCCTAAACCCTAAATCCTAAACCCTAAACCCTAAATCCTAAACCCTGAACCCTAAATCCTAAACCCAAAGCCCCCACCAGCCAGGGTGTGCCAGACCCATCCAGACCCTGGACCCTTAACCCTAAACCCTAAACCCTAAATCCTAAACCCTAAACCCTAAATCCTAAACCCAAAGCCCCCACCAGCCAGGGTGTGCCAGACCCATCCAGACCGTGGACCCTTAACCCTTAACCCTAAACCCTAAATCCTAAACCCTAAACCCTAAATCCTAAACCCAAAGCCCCCACCAGCCAGGGTGTGCCAGGTACATTTCGA